TATTGACCCGAGTAAATTGAAAACATACGTCCACATAAAAATCTGCACATGAATGTTTATAGCAGCTTTATTCGTAATTGTCAAAATTTTAAGTAACCAAGATATCCTTTAATAGGTTACTGGATAAAGAAACTATGGTACATCCATACATACAATGCAGTATATTAGTCAGAGATAAAAAGAAATGAGCTATCAAGCTATGAAAAGACATGGAGGAAATTTAAATGCTAAGTAAAAGAAGCCAATATGTAAAAGCTACATACTGTATGATTTCAACTATGACATTCTGGGAAAGGCAAGTCTACAGAGACGGTAAAAAGATCAGTGGTCACCAGGGCTTCAGGGAAAGGGGAAGAAGGATGACGAGTTGGAACACAGGGCATTATAAGAACAGCGAAACTATTCTGTATGATACTGTAATGGTGGACACATGACACTATGCAGTTGTCAAAACCCATAGAGTAAGACCTAATGTAAACTATAAATTTTAGTTAATAATAATGTATTGATATTGGTCCATCGATTGTAGCAAATGTACCACAGGAATGCAAGATGTTAATAACAGGAGAAACTGTGCAGGGAAGAAGAGGAACTCTCAATAATTTTTGCACAATTTTTCTGTAAACCTATAACTTCTCTAAATAATAAAGTCTGTTTAAATGTTAAAAAGCAAAGCAAAACAAAACAAAAACATATAACTTAAAATATATCAAGGACTAGAGGGATATGGAGGACCCACACTTTCGTCTACCTCAAGCCCAACATGCCGATTTCTGTGTTTTGGGCTAAGGAGAGACGTCTTCTTCAGCGAGACACTAATGACCTACTGGTGAGTAGGCAAAGAATTAAAGAGCCAGGAAAAACTGGCTTGAGGATAGAGAGATGTGAGTGAGAAGGTAGCTGCCAGGTACTGACCACGGGATAAATGTGGGCTTTGAAATTGGTACTCTGATGTGTTTCCTTGAGAGGTAAAGTTTTAAATTATTTCAGTGATTTTGTTGTTAGTGTCAGCCTGAGGTTTCCTAGACTGAAACTTCATGAAAGACAGGGCCATTATGAAGTCCAGGTGTATATGGGTTACAGATATGATAGCTGCAGTAGGTGGAGGAAGGGGCTTGTTTTTAAAAAAAAAAACAAAAAAAAACCCCAATCAGGATTCCAGAAGGAAAGAAACTCAGGCAGGAGAAGAAAAGAGAGGACAGGCCAAATTTCTGAAGAAGAAAAGGTTGGGAAACTGCCCTCAGATTTACAATTTACATTAAAATGCAATTTTATTTACCAATGTCTTGACTCTTGGAGGACAGTATATAGTTGTTAATGATTTCCTCCTGAGCACACAGCTAGACTATGTATTGCAGCCTCTCTTGCAATTAGAGGTGGCAATGTGACAGACTGGGCTCTGGAAGAAAATGAAGTTTGCCACTTCCAGGTCTGGCCCATAAAACCTCCAGTGCAATCTTCAATATCCTCTCTTCTCATTTGCTGGCCAAATGCAAAGTCTCCAGTGGAGGGCTCTGAGGCTCTAGAGGATAGCAGAGATGCTAGTTGGAAGAACCTGGGTCCCTGAATGACTATGTGGAGCAGAGCCTCCTCACCAGCCTTCACTGTATTGTGATGCAAGTGAGAAGCTTTTATGGGCATTGTTTGTTATGGCAGTTAGCCCACCCTGACTGATGATGCACTGGGGAATACTGGCATTTCCCCTACCTCTTTGGTGGCTTCTCTGTCTTTTTTCTTGAAACATTTTCTTTGTTGCATCATCTATGCAAATGTGTCTCCCAAGGGTCAGAACTCTTCCAGCCACTTCCCTCTGGATCAGTAGTCCTGATCTCCCTTTTGAGCTCCAGACTGTCACCTCCAGCTGCTTAAGCTTAACTTTCCTGCAGTTGCTTACAAACGTGCATGTTCCTAAACCTAAACTCAGACTGGCTCTCTCTTCTAACACATCTTTCAGTGTCACACTGGCCACCAGGCTTCTCCCAGTCAGACTGGCTATAAATCTGTGTACTTCAATTCCTCACTCCCCCCACCTTCCAGATCAGACAGAGACCTGTCAGTCCCCCTCTTCTCCTTCCCCTCCATCCATCCTCTGCTGCCCTTGTGCCTTAGGCTCTCCTCAAGCTGGGTGGTGCCAGTCCCAAGCTCCCTCCTTAGTGCTACTCCCTTTTCTTCAAGTGCCAGCACCCTGGGCTATGCCAAGTCTGCATCAGCTCTTGCTTAGACTTTTGCAATAGCTGTTTTTTTTCTTCTTCCTTCTTCTTCTATTAAGAAATACTTTAAGCATACAGAAAAGTATTATCAACTAACACTTGTACCTATCACCCAGCTTTGTCATATTCTCATCTGCAAGTGAAAAATAAACGGAGGGAAGAGTGGCTTAGCTCTAGAAAGTGAAAAGTTTACTTAATCTCTTACCTTGTATTAGCTGGAATTTTACGTTACACTTAACACTAAAATACATATACAGTACCACGTTCAAGTGTTTTTCTGCTGTTTCCTCTACGATGCACAAACCTCTGATCTAACAGAAATCTTGTAACAGGACATTCCTGAAGTGTTTTATATGCATTTTTATAAAGCAAATGCCATTTGGGGTCCCTAAATTCATGCAAGGAGCTACATTTTTTCTATGATTATTTTCCTGAACTCTCAGAATTGGAAAATATCCTGAAGTCATAAAAGCATTCTTTTATATTTTTCTGTAAACATTTTATTGTTTTGCTATTCACATTTAAGTTTCTTTATTTATTTTTGTGTAAGACATAAAGTAGGAATCTGATTTTACTTTTTCCTCATATAGGTAGTTAATTGTGCCTGCACCATTCATTGAATATTCTATCGTTTCCTCCTTGATCCGTAATGCTGACTCTAATTGTCAAGTTTCCATACACGCACGGGTCTGTTTCTCTCCTCTCTATTCTGTTGCATTGGCTGCTTTCTGTCTCAGCATCACACTGTGATTACTATAACTTTGTAGCAAGTCTTGGTTTCTGGTAGAGTAAGGCTACCCCCTCGTCCCATGGCCTTATCCTTCTTTAAGTTTGCCTTGGCTATTTGTTTTGATTATTTATTGCTGCATAGCAAACTATCTCAAAACTTAGTGGCTTAAACCAACAACCAAAAAATGAAAGCAGACCAGTCAGTGAATAAGACGTTGGCGTATTGTGCTGTGTGCTATGAAGCAAAGAGCGTGGGAGGGAAAGTGAAGGAGGATACACTTTGTGTTGGGCCGGCAAACTGTCAGGCAGAAGGATGCTGCTCAAAAGTTAGGAAGCTGATACACGTGCAATGGCTTAAAGCCTTCCTGTGTCCCCAAAGCCAAGGACCAGCATTCTCTCTTCATTTATGAACACCTTCCCGTGGGCCCTGTGGTTTTGGGGTGCCTCGGTTGCCATAGACCCTACATGGCAACTGAGGCTAAGGGAAGGGGGTACATTCTTAAGGTCATAGCTCTGTAAAGGTGCCCTCAGGCCTTTGGTGGTAGTAGAAAGGGCAGCCCTCTCCCTGAGGCAGGGTGGACAGGAGGAAGTCAAGTCCTCTTATCTGGGACACTGGTTAATTAGGAATCTCTTCCCTTGAACTCCCCCACTAAGTCAGCCACACCCCTGGCTGTCTCCTCTTTACTCCTAAACTTAGGTTGTGGCTTGTATTAGAAAAAGTCGTGCTCCCCATGCCCCCTAGCTCTTTTAGCATTCATCTAGCTACAGCCATGTTTGCTTTGTATTGTCATTATTTTTTCATACATCTGCCTGCCACTCCCCTACCCTACCCCCACAGACAACAATGAGATCCTTAACGGAATCCAGAAGCATTAAAAAAAAAAAACCAAGCGAAACCCATTGACATCGAGTCGATTCCGACTCATAGTGACCCTATAGGACAAGGTAGAACTGCCCCATATGGTTTCCAAGGAGCAGCTGGTGGATTTGAACCGCGGACCTTTTGATTAGCAGTCCTAGCTCTTAACCACTGTGCCACCAGGGGCAGAGTTCATCCTTCGGCGGAGATTAGACAGGTCTATAAAACAATAACACACGTGAGGAACGTGCTTCTTAGTTCGATCATGTATGTGAGAACAAAAGGGCCACACTTGCCCGAAAGCAATGACGAGAAAGCAGGAAGGGACAGGAAAAATGGACAGATGAAAACGGGGAATTGGGGTATGGAAGGGGAGAGTGTTGACGTATCATGACGATTGCAACCAATGTCACAAAACAATTTGTGTCTAAATTGTTGAAGGAGAAACTAAAAAAAAAAAAAGAATAAAGAATATGAACAGACACTTCAACAAAGAAGACACTGAGGCAGCTAACAGACACACGAAAAATGCTCGGGATCGTTAGTCATTTGAGAAATGCAAATCAAAACTACACTGAGACACATCTCCCTGGATATTACTGGCACTAATAAATAAAAAAGAAAATAACAAAGGTTGGAGAGGTTGCAGGGAGATTGGAAGTCTTAGGCACTACTGGTGGGAATGTACAATGGTAATACCACTATGGAAAATGATATGGTGCTTCCTAGAAATATAAGTACTATATGCTCCAGAACCCCACTCCTAGGAATATATCTTAGAGAAGTAAGAGCCATCACACGAATAGACATACGCACACCCATATTCACTGCAGCATTATTCACAATAGCAAAAAGATGGAAACAACCTAAGTGCCCAGCAACAGATGAATGGATTAACAAACTGTGGTCCATACATACAGTGGAACACTATGCAACAATGAAGAACAATGATGAATCTTCGAAACATCTCGCAACATGGATGGATCTGGAGGGCAGTATGCTGAGTGAAATAGCAAAATCACAAAAGGACAAATACTGTATGAGACCACTATCATAAAAACTCGAGGGAAGGTTTACACACAGAAAGAAACAATCTTTGATGGTTACGTTGGAGGGGAGGGATGGGGAGCGGAGGTCACTAACTAGACAATAGACAGGGAACCTAGGGTGGAGAAGGGAAGAATGTGGACACATCTCGGGGATTGCAACCAATGTCACAAAGCAGTTTGTGTATAAATTGTTGAATGAGAAACTAATTTGCTCTGTAAACTTTCACCTAAAGCACAGTTAAAAAAGAAAAATAAATAAAATAACATTTCTAACCTATCAAATCAATAACAACTCAAAACTTGACATAAAAAAAAATGCACACTAAGACTCTCCACTTACTAACTGTGTGACTTTGGGGAATTATTAACCTCTGTGTGCCTCAGTTTCTCCATCTGTAAGATGTGGGAAGTACTTACCTCATAAGGATGTTTGAACCACTAATACATGAAGAGGGATCTGGCACACAAAAACCACTCCATAAATGTTGGTTTACCGACTTAACCTCTATAGCCTCAACCCTGAGCACAGTGCCCGGTGGTTAGCAGGCACCTGTAACTACCTGTCCAGTGAATACAGAGCAGTCATAAGTCTAGGAGCTCTAGTCTAAGTAAATAAATTGTTTGGGTCTTAACAGCTCATGACACTCAAGATGGCTTCTGGTGCTGGAGACAGAGCAAGGCAGGCAGGAGACCCAAGGTGGGGAGAACATGGTGAAGATGGACTCGTTCGGTGTGTATGTGGACTTGCTTCCAGGAATCTCAAACTGAGAGGGACCAGAGGTCAGATGAGGCTGCATGTTAATGTTAATGGCCTTCTTCTCCAAGCAAGGCTGGATCCTGCCGGAGTCAGGGTACAGGAATTACCCACCCTCTGGCAGTCAGATCTGGGCTACCGGAGGTGAAGCATTCAGGTAGGAAGGCGAGGAGCAGAGCCCTCAGGACACAAAGTGACACCTAGAGCATCCTGCTCCCCTCCCTGCTCCCAGCTCTCTCAACTCCCTGAGTTCCTGACCCTGCAGTTCTATACAGTATGTGCCCTGTGGTGCCATGGGCTCGGACAGAACCCTGTGCTCAACGCTGGGGACCTGGAAGATAAATGATGGCAGCAGAGATGTCACAGCATCAGGAGGTTACCCCACCTTCCTCCCAGCGGACTTCCTGACCCTCACAGACCATCTTGCCACACTTCAAACTGCCCACTCATCTCCTCTCCAATCCCCTATTCCCTTCTGGCCATGACCCAGCCTGACCCTCAGGTCCCATCCCAAGGACACTGCTGATGTCTTACTGTGACCTGAAGGCAAACAATGTCCTGTCTGATCAAACATGAATAAAGAGCTGCCTGTGTGATTGGTAAGCCCTGGTGGCGCAGTGGTTAAGCACTCCCCTGCCAACTGAAAGGTCGGAGGTTCTAACCCACCAGCCACTCCTCAGGAGAAAGATGTGGCAGTCTGCCTCCATAAAGATTACAGCCTTGGAAACCCTATGGGGCAGTTGTACTCTATCCTATAGGGTTACTATGAGTTGGAATCGACTCGATGGCAATGGGTTTTGGGTTAGATGGTAGGTGGTAGTAAGTTCCCTGTCCTCAGAGAGATTGAAGTAGAGACGGCATGACTCCTTATTGGGACTTGTAGGGGGCAGGGTTCTGACATCCCATTGGCAGTTAGATCTGATGACCTTTGACATCAACCTTGAGAAGTGATGAATCTGCAATTCCAAGCAATCTCCTCTCAAGATGTAGATGATGTCATCCTTCTGCCCACTTGGCCTGAAGTTGCCAGAGTTCAGAGTCACTTCTTTGGGACACAAAATAAAAAGGGATCCTGTCTCCAAAGGAGCTCTCGTGGCACAGTGGTTAAGAGTTGTGGCTGCTAACCCAAAGGTCGGCTGTTAGAACCCCCCAGCCACTCCTTGGAAACCCTATGGGGCAGTTCTACTCTGTCCTATAGGGTTGCTATAAGTCAGAATCGATTCAACAGAACAGGTTTTTTTCATTTTCTGTCTCCAGAAGTCCCCTGTGAAATGTACTTAAGCTGAGCAGGATGCCTTCCCCAACCCACTTTGCTTGACTGAGATGAAGTTAGCAGATTAAAGCTAGACAACCGTCTCGGGGAAGGCAGTGAAGCCAACATCAGTTTTGAGTGGGGGTGGTCGTCTATGAGCGGTAATAGGGAGGGATGCCCATCACCAACTCTGCTAAGGGCAAGAGTTGGGGGGGAGGCTCCTGAGTAGTGGGGGCACTGCCCACAACCCAGCTTTCCTCCTGGCAGGGGAGTAAGAATCCCATGAACAGATGCGGAGTTAGAGTCAGGAGGCCAAGAAAGAGAGGAGGGAGTTATAAGTGGAGAGAGAGGGGTGTCTGAGCTTTCCAACCTGGCTTGGAGGCCCTGAGAGGACAGTTAAGGGAGGGGGCTCTCAAGAAGAGAGAGTCATCACTAGAGGAACTTGTGCAATCTGCCAGAATTTCATAGCTCCTGATCAGGAAGGAAGTGTTGGTCACAGAGGAGGTGAGGATTGACTTACTCAGAGCACTGGGTCCCAGACCCCTATCTAGTTGGGCTCTGTTGTAGTAGCACTGCTTCCAGACCTGGACCCTACACAGGTGCCAAGAAACCCCCTCTATTATCCTCACAGCCTGCCTATCACAACCCTCAGACTCAAAACCTCTGCCCTCCAGGATGGTAACGACTTTCCCCCACCTCACCTCCCTTGCAGGGGAGAGATGACCCCTTGGTAGTTTGTAGTGATGTTGGCACACTGATGTCACCCCATCACTGGTAGAGCAGCTCTGTACCTCACTGGCATTGGTAAGTACTCCCTACCCAGTGAAGTCTGCCCTCAATTCCTGAGACTCCCTCCTCTCTAGGGGTGTCGACTTGGAGGGCTGGGGATTGTTTCTAGCAATGCTGACATATTCCACAAACAGAAGGGGGTCAGGCACGGGCCTCCAGCTGGAGTGGGTGTTGACATAGATGGAGTCCTCAGCGCCAAAGTGGTTTAGGTGGATAAGTGAGGCATAATGGATGTTCCCAGTGTCCTCATCAGAGTCCTTCCGCTGGTCAAAGCCCTGGGAATCAGAAAACACAGATGTCCACTGTACAAATCACAGCTGGGAGTGGTCAGTGGTCCCCTGGGGCCCAGAGCTGTGTAGGGGGTTGGTGAAATATGGGACAAGGAATTGACCCTGCAGAGCCTAGGGGAATGCCTGGGAGGAGTTGCTTCTGAAGGTAGTGAAGTCACTATCACTGAACATGTTTGAGAAGAGAGCAGGCTGGGCCACATAGCATGGTCCATGGACAAGCAGTACCAGCATTACTTGGGAGCTTTTGTTAAAAATGCACGATCTCAGGCTTCACCCTAGACTTACTAAAGCAAAATCTGTAGGTGTGGGGCCCAGGAAATTGTGTTTTAATAAGCTCTTCAGGTGATTTTTGTGCACACTCAAGTTTGAGAAGCACTGAGCTAGATGGATGGTAGAGATATTATTTGTAGAGGTGATTCTCCCAGAGTGCTGGACCAGATGACATTAGGTCCTCCCAATCCTGAGATTCTGTGATTCTGAGTCTCAGTGAGGAGAGATCTTTAGACATGACAGACCTACCCCAGGGAAACTGCCCAGTCCCCAGCCCCTGCTGAGGAAACACTCTAGGGAACCGTGTTCTTTGCCATGGGACACCCTTCTCTACAGCTCATGGAACCAATGACAGCCAGGCCATAGATCATCACATGACTTATGTCACCTGTGGGAGTGAAGGTGAAAGGCTGGATCAGCCAACTTCTCTCTGTAAACTCTAAGGAATTCAAACTGGGAACTACAGGGATAAGATGCACGCGGATAGGCCATGAGGCAGCAGGGGTGTGAGGAGCACAGAGTGATCAAGGTTCAGAGGAACTATGAGTAAGCACAAGCTGAGAAGTTTGGGGGAAAAAAAAATGATACGCAGGAAAGATAGATTCCTTGTGCCCAGGTGAGGGTCATTCCTACTCACAGTGGTCTTCTCTTTTTGGGCTGAGAGGTCATCACAGACGTGGTGTGATTCATCCTCACCTGTAAAGGAGACAGTTGAGGTTGGAGGAGTGACCTCTCCCTACACACCCCCCATAGAAATAAGAAGGAGAGGCTGGGGGTCCTGACTGGGCAGAAAGGACCCTGGCAGGGGAGATGCCAAGGCTTGCCCAGGGGACACGTTCGTGGCTGGGGATATGGTGGGTGGCCAGCACAGGTTGGTGTCCAGTGATGTAAGGAGCAGAACAAACTGGCTGCTGTCAGCTAATCTGCATAAAATCAGTAAACTTATTAACCAATTCCAAGTCCCTGAAAATTCCAAATTGAAGCATCAAATTTAAACAAACTCTATTTGCTGATGAAGTCATATAAAGTAACATCTTCCAAGGTTTTGGCCGAGGAACCCTAGTGAGAAACACATTTTACCTCATTACCCCCACCCCCACATACACATACTCACACACACTTATACACAAGCTCACACACATACATACACACACTCATATACAAATTCACATATACACGCACAAATATCTCACACACAAAACCACACACAGTCATACACAATCACACACACATACATGCACGCACACAACACTCACATACATACTCACACACAGATTCCTGAAGAAAAGTTTAATGAAAAAAATACTTAACCTTTAATAATGTGAAAACACTGACATTGTCTATGCTATTTGACTTTGTTTTTTAAAAACGTTAATGTGACCCACTATGTTGATTTTACACATTTTGAAAAATCTGTGCAGTATATAAAATTTTATAATCCACTACTACCTTGGAATTTTTATAGCTTGAAAAATTGAAATCAATGAGGTCCGAAATAATTCTGACCAGCTCCCACATTTCCATCCTGTTGTCCACGGATTCATCATTGGATTATATGGTTAATAAACATACAGGCGAGGATGGCAAGACTTCTGCTCACATACTTTGGACATGTTATCAGGAGGGACCAGTTCCTGGAGAAGGACATCACACTTAGTAAAGTAGAGGGTCAGCGAAAAAGAGGAAGATCCTCAACAAGATGGATTGACACAGTGGCTGCAACAATGGGCTTAGACATAGCAACGACTGTGAGGATGGCGCAGGACCGGGCAGTGTTTTGTTCTGTTGTACATGGGGTCGCTATGAGTCGGAACCAACTCTCTGGCATCTAACAACAACAACAAACATACAGTACATTCGTGCCAAACCAACAATAACAAAAAACAGCACAAATGAAGGCAGGAGTCATCAAAAGGGACTACTTCTGATAAATCCTGTACAAAATGCTGCAGATTTTACATTGAAAAATGCTAAAAACTTGAATGTTTGAAGATTAAAAAGTCTTTAAAGTGCTTTTAGTACTACTGGTTGCTTTTGAGTCAATTGTGACTCATGGCAACCTCACGTGTGTCAGAACAGAACTGTGCTCCACAGGGTTTTCAATAGCTGATTTTTCAGAAGTAGATCTCCAGGCCATTTTCCAAGGCACCTCTGGGTGGACTCAGACCTCCAACCTTTCTGACAGCAGCTGATGGTGTTAATGATTTACACTACCCAGGGATTCTCAAAGTGCTTTTAGGAAGACAGATTTTAAAATGATAGCAACAATTAAAAAAAAAATACCATTAACCAGAAAGTTCTTTAGATGAATTTGTTTAAAATTCTTAACCAAAAAGATGGCAAAAGATACGATCCAAAATGGTTAATACCAATTGCCTCTGAGTCAATTTCAACTCATGACAACCCCATGTGTGTCAGAGTAGAACTGTGCTCCAAAGGGTTTTCAATGGCTGATTTTTCGGAAGTAGATCGCCAGGCCTTTCTTCCAAGGAGCCTGTGGGTAGACTTAAACTGCCAACCTTTTGGTAAGCAGTTGAGTACATTAACCATTTGCACCACGCAGAGACTCCTAGAATATCCAATTTTAGGCAAATGAGTATGGTGTTGAATTGGATTTGGATAAGGAGATCTCAAACCCCTGAAGAGAGCTGGTCCATCCTCAGGGCCACTGAGCCTGCCACATTGGGTGAGCAGGAGGGGAACCAGTTTAGGTTCCCAGGGAATTCTGCCCATGTCACCCCTTGGGCCTTGGTTTCCTCAATAGTGAAATGGAGGTAATAAGCCCTGACCCCAAGGCTCACTCGGCCGGCCTTGCAGTGCCTTTGTACGGTTTACCTTTTCCGGCTCCTCCCTGGGCTTTCCTGAGGTACAGGATCATGAAGACAGCGAGCACCAACAGCAGCAGGACCGCCACCACCACGCCCAGAAGGATGAACTTCCAGTTGCCTGGAGGGCTTGGAAATGAGGACCTGTTGAGTGAGGAAAGTCATAGCCTATTGTCATGACAGACCCTCCCCAGCTCTCCTGAGGCGCCTCCTGCTGAAATGACCAGGGGGCAGCCCTTTGGTCAAGGGCTCTGACCCAATAGCCTGTGTGGTTGTGGACAAGTCACTCTATCTGGACTTATTTCTTTCTCTGTCAAACAGGAACACTGATGATGCCTCAAGTCTTTCCTCCTTTCCCCTTTCTAACTGTTGTTCCTTCACTGTCTTTCTGGACCCCGTTGTAGGATCTGTTCTCACCTCTCCCAGTATCCTTCCCTTAACCATTCTTTGTCCCAGCTCTTTAAACTCACCCCTTCTCTGTGAGGTGCAATTAGCTCTCAGAGAATACGGGCGTCATTTGACAAGCACAGCTCTGCCAGATAATAAATGCATTTTAATAGGTCCTTCTGAAGACACTGTCCTTATTATTATTATTATTATTGTGCTTTAAGTGAAAGTTTACAATTCAAGTTAGTCTCTCATACAAAAATTTATACACACATTGTTATGTGACCCTAGTCGCTCTCCCTGTACTGTGACAGCACACTCCTCTTTTCCACTCCGGATTTCCCGCGTCCGTTCAACCAGCTCCTGACACTCTCTGCCTTCTCTTCTCGCCTCCGGACAAGAGCTGCCCATTAAGCCTTATGTATCTACTTGACCTAAGAAGCACACTCTTCATGAATATCATTTTATGTCCCATAGTCCTGTCTAATCCTTGTCTGAAGAGTTGGCTTCAGGAATGGTTTTAGTTTTGGGCTAACAGAGAGCCCGGGGGCCATGTCTTCCGGGGTCCCTCCAGTCTCAATCAAACCATTAAGTCTCGTCTTTTTACTAGAATTTGAGTTCTGCACCCCACTTTTTTCCTGCTGCATCAGGGACTGTCTGTTGTGTCCCCTGTCAGGGTAGTCATTGGTGGTAGCCAGACACCATCTAGTTCTTCTGGTCTCAGGCTGATGGAGTCTCTGGTTTACGTGGCCCTTTCTGTCTCTTGGGCTAATATTTTCCTTGTGTCTTTGGTGTTCTTCATTCTCCTTTGCTCCAGGTGGGTTGGGACCAAATGATGTATCTTACATGGCCACTCGCCAAAGTGGGATGCAGACATTTTCTTTTTTTTTTAATTATACTTCAGGTGAAGGTTTACAGAACAAATAGTTTCTCATGAAACAGTAGTACACATAGTGTTTTATGACATTGATTAACAACCCCACAACATGTCAACTCTCTCCCTTCTCGACCTTATTATTTTTTATTTTTTTGGTGAAAACATACATAGCCAAAGATACACCATTTCAAAAATTTCTACATGCACAGTTCAGTGACATCGACTACACTCTTCCAATTGTGCTGCTATTCTCACTTTAGATGAAGGCTTACAGAACAAAATAGTTCCTCATTTAAGAACATTTTCTTAATAAACTTTGCTATGCCAATTGACCTAGATGTTCCCTGAAAGCATGGTCCCAAGACCCCTGCCCCTCTACTCTGTCCCTCAAAGTGTTTGGTTGTATTCAGGAAACTTCTTAGCTTTGGTTTATTCCAGTTGTACTGACATCCCCTGTAGTGTGTGTTGTCCTTCCCTTCACCTAAGATAATTCTTGTCTGCTTCTAATTAGTAAATACCCCTCTCTTTCTTTCCACCCTCGTAACCATCAAAGGATGTTTTCTTCTGTGTTTAAACCTTTTTCTGAGTTCTTATAATAGTGGTCTTGTACAATATTTGTCCTTTTGCGACTGACTAAATTCACTCAGCATGATGCTGAAGACACTGTCTTAAGTCAAAGGAAGGACACAATGGTATCCTTTCTTACACCATACCAGCTGACAGTTTCTGTCAAGTAGACTTTGACTCATGACGACCCCATGTGTGTCAGAGTAGAGCTCTGTTCCTAGGACTTTCAGGGGCTGATTTTTCAGAAGTAGATTGTCAGGGCTTTCTTCCGAGGTGCCTCTGGGTGGACTTGAATCTCCAACTTTTCGATTCATAGCCAAGCGCATTAACTGTTTGTACCACCCAGGGACTCCTTCTTACAACAGAGCAGACTCTTTTCTTTTTTTAATTTAATTTAATTTTTGGTGAAAATATACACAACAAAACCCGTTCCCATTCCACAGTTTCTAGACATAATGATCAATGACATTGGTTACATTCTTCACATTTTGTCAACATTTTCATTATTTCTGTTCTAATTGTTTCATTTTCATTTATTTAATCTCTCTGCTCCCCAGCCTTCTCATCTATGCTTTAAAACAGCTGATGAGCCCATAGCAGGCTCTTATTAGAGAAGGTGTCTGGGGATGTCATTGGTCAAAGGGAGAGAGAGACATCTCTCAGCTCAGTTGACCAGCACCACTGGGTTTTCTGGTTTAACTCCTTGAAGCAAGGAACTGTGGTTTGCAAGAGCTCAGGGTTCATTATCCACAGTGTTGGCGAGTGGAGAGAGGGTCAGGGGAGGCCAGAGGCCAGAAGAGAAACATCTATCATGCTAGTCGGAGTGGCTGGACCCTGAAAACCACCAGGCAGGGGTAGAAAAGAAGTCAGGCACGGGCTAGAGTAACCCAGAGTGTGCCCTTTCCCTAGACCCACAGTGGCTCTGTGGTAGCTCCTCTTCTCGTTCAGAAAGACAGACAAGGGCTGGAAGTAGCAAAGAGGAAAAAGCAGCAGCCCCAGTCATGTGCCTGGCACTGTACTAGGCCCTTTGAATCCACAGTCTCATTTAATCCTCACAACCACCCTGTAAGCAGTGGCCCCCCAACCAGGGGCAATTGTGTCCCCCAGGGGACATTTGGCAATGTCCGGAGGCTTTTATGGTTGTCATAACTGGGGGTAGTGGTGCTACTGGCATCTAGTGGGTAGAGATCAGGAATGCTGCTAAACACCTACAATGAGCAAGACAGCCCCCCACAACAAAGAATTTTCCAGTCCCAATTATCAATAGTACCGAGGGTGAGGAACCCTGCTGTAAGGTGAGAATGTTATTGGTTCCATTTTGCAGATAAGGAAACTGAGGCTCAGAGAGATAAAGTAACCTAAAGTTACTGTTTGACTCCCGATCCATCCTCCGAGAGCCAGGTACCTACAAGAGTGTTTTTTTGTTTGTTTTTGTTTTTTCCAGTCGCCCTCAAGTAGATTCTGACTCATGGCGACCCCATGTGTGTCAGAGTAGAACTGTGCTCCATAGGGTTTTCAATGGCTGATTTTTCGGAAGTACATCACCAGGCCTTTCTTCTTGGGAGTGTGTTAGGTGGGGGTGTTTGGCACAGGGGAGAGGGTAGGAGGAAATGGAGGGCTAAAGAGACAGAGATGGTGACAGTACCTGTCAGTGGCAAGGTTTGTGGCAGAGGCCTGGACTGTGGTACTCACAGTGCTCCTGGTGGTGGACGGGGTTGAAGCTGCAAGAGAGACAACAGTGAGGGGAGTACTCCCATCTGTTTGCTCCACAGTCCAGGGCTGCCCACTTCCAGCCCAGTCTTGGGTGGGAGGACTCTGAGAATCACCACATTGCCTGCAAATGAATGGTGGCATTGTCCTGGTTGTGTTGGATTTCCAGCACCATGAATGTCAGAATATGTGAGAGTGGCTTTAGATTGAGTGTCATACTGCCACATGTATAATGGATATCTCTACAGTCTCTTCTGTTTTCATTGATTTTGAATAGGTCATGCACTTTTGACATGTAATCCTCCTCCTACAACTCCTGTTATCTCCCATGGATAAATTTCTGCTCATTCAACCAGACCCGGGTAGCATCACCTCCTCTGTGGAGCCTTCCAGGAGGATCCGCAACCCTGGCCTTCTCCAGCAACCGGATCCCTCCTTTTGCTGGGCCTCCGTTCAATATGTTTCTAATACAGCTCTTACCACTCTGCATCATAACCTTTTGTTTACATGTCTCTCTTCCTGGCTGGGCTGTGGACTCCTCCAGCACAGGATCGGATCTCAAGGCTTCCAGAGCCTAGCCCTCTGCCCTTCATGGAGTGGGCATTGACAGCTTGGGCAGGGAATGACCAAGCAGCTGATCTGGGTCCTCTAGTTGACCAGTTATCTGGACAAAGTCAGCACCAGAGAGAAAGTCTGGGAAGGTGCCGTTCAAGCCCTAACCATCACAAAGAAATGTGGTGGAGCTTTGCAACTCTGCAGCTTTTAGGAGAAATACCTGAGGGCCTCAGGGTTAATGGTAACCCCAAACTTCCCATTCTGAGGTTCAACGTCTCTCAAATTTTAGGGGCAGATGAAAGGTGAGGACCCACAACTGCTGAACCCTAGGCTGCTACACCACCTTGCCTCACCCTTAGTCTCCCGTGTGCTCCACTACCCAGCTGTGTCCTTGTCTGTCCACATTCCTTGGCCCCAACCTTGTGACCCATCTCCAGCACAGTCCTTTGAGAGAAGGCTGGGAGTTACAGTCAAGCGTAGGGATGCCCAGAAAGGAATCATTAAGCTAGCTGTGCTGAAGCATGGGGAGGCTTTAAGATTATTGCTAATATACTGAGGAGGCCTGTGAGTAGCAACAAAAATGTTAAGAGGAATACGTATGATGTGGAAGGAAGCAGCAGCAAAAAGCCAACAGGCTTGAGGCTGGTGCTGGTTCTACCATTAACCAGTGGGTGACCTTGGGCAAGGGGCTTTCCTTCTCTGGGCCTCAGTTTTCTGCTCCAAGAGAGTTGTTGTTGTTGTTAGCGGCCGTCAAGTCGACCCCTGACTCAAAGTGCCATCCCCAGATCAGACCATTGTGATTCATAAGGTTTCCATTGGCAGATTTTCAGAAGTAGATTGCCAGGTCTTTCTTCCTAGTCCATCTCAGTCTGCAGGCTCCACTGAAACCTGTTTAGCATCATAGCAACACACAAGCGTCTACCGACTAATGAGTGGTGGTTGCCCATGAGGTCCCTTGGCTGGGAATTGAACCCGGGTCTCCCGCATGGAAGGTGAGAATCCTACCACTGAACCACCAATGTCCCTCAACAGAAGGGTAGAAGGAAAAATTTTCTAAGGCCTTTTCCAGCTCTAACACCTTGTGATTCAAGGAGTCTGAAATCCATACATGAGAAGGGAAAGAGCTCACCTTGAGATACTATCAGATGGAAGCTTCTGAGAATATGGACAACTGAGCTGAAAGAGTTGTAGTTTCCACAATAATAGAATCCCGAGTCTGCCGTCCTGAGCCCAGTCATGTTGATGATGAAGTAGCCAGAACTACGTTCATCCTGGATCGAGTATCGGGACTTCTGCACCTGGGACCTGGAGCTGGTGACTAATGGGATACACAAATTTTCTGACGTTTTCTTGCACCAGATTTTCAGCTTGTTTGAATCTTTCTGGAACTGGTACCAGCATATCAAGGAGACGGTCTCACCTTCCAGTTTCTGCAACAACACTGGTGCTGTTTCCTGTTCCCGGGAATCTGAAAATGAATCCTCAGGTCCGGGGGCTCACCTTGGCCCAACCTCAACTTCAGGGTTGTGATATGGGGATCCCCCTTGGGAGCAGTCCCCTCTGTGCCTACAGCTATAATGTTCCCAGAGCCGGCCTCTGGTCACAGCACCACCCTGCCCCCTCTCCTCTGTCCCCTCTGAGTAGTCCCCTTCACTGGCTACCTCGCCTCTCCCTCTTCCCCTCCTGTGGCCCTGTTCCTGTCCCCTGCCCTCTGCCTCTGCCCCTCACCTGAGACCCGGAGCACCAGCAGAACAGGTGCCAGCAGGTATGTGGCTTCCCAGGCCATGGGTCCTCTTCTTGAGTTGGTGTGGGGAAGGGAAAGCGAGAGGGTAGGGAAGCCCCTGAGGAGAGGGAACCAGGAGCTGGTTCGGAGTCAGTCTAGCAAATCCAGCATGCCTGAGATGGAAGAGCTGAGGAAGGCAAGGCCTCAGGTGGGGAGGGGGAGGCCTGTGGAGGAAGGGAGGCCTTGGCCTCTATGTGGACCCTCCAGCCGCTGGGTCTACAACTGGGCCTGGAACCACCTCAGCCCTGGAGCTGAACCGAGGCTCCAGGGCTCTCTGTGCTGCTGCTCAGCTGCTTTGTGTCCAGTGTCTTCCTCATTGTCTGTCATCTCCCCATTCTGGGCCAGGGGCGGAAAAGGTGTGAATGCCCAGGAGGAAATGATGGTGAAATAAAGACTACTTCTCTCTCCTGTCCGTACCACCACTACCTCCCCAGCCTTAACTTTCTCCCCGCTCCCCAAGTAAATCACGGGCTGGGGTGGGTGTTGGAGTTGGTGGGGGGAGCACAGAGAGGACTAAGCAGGGCCGTAAGCCCCACTGGTGCCCAAGGGTGGTCAAGCCTCATGGCCTGACTGGCTGGTGGTCAGTGCTGTGTCTCTACACTGGACAGTTCCATGGGGACTGGAGGGGAGAAGAGAGAGGAGCTGAAGATAGAAGTATAGGGAGGGTCCCTGGCAAAGGTGGGAGACAGAACACCTGGGAGCAACAAAAGAGCTTAGCAGTTTCATCAGAGGGGAAGGCAGAAGGTGACAGACAAGTCTAGAGGGAAGGAGAAGGGAGAAGGAGAAAGGGGGTTTCAACTCCAAATCATGTCTGTAACCCCAGCTCTCAGCCACTGTAATCACTCGACAAGCATTTGCTGAAAGACCACATTAATCAAGCACATTTTTAAAACAAGTGTCATTACAACATGGTGAATATAATTAACGTCACTGAATCCTACACATAAAAATGGTTTAAACGGTAAAAAAATACTACTAATAATAAGTGTCATTAGATGAGCTACAGAAAAACGGTAATCACCAGCTGTTGATAGTTGATAGGTAGGCAACAAAGGAAAGAAGAAATACTGCACAAACTCAGTGTTGCATGTTGGTCTGGGGAGCAGACTCTGAGACGGAGATTGGCGCAGGAGGCTCAGAGTGCTCTTGGGCCAGCACCTTGGGAAGGAAGGACAAGCAGGACTGGGTAGAAGTCAGGCTGCAAGATAGGTCAGAAGGCAGCTTGGACCACCTTGTGAGGAGTTCTAGAGATAATATACTCTTCACAACGTCCCTGAGTAGACAAGGGGGTGTGGGGCCTTTCTACCATGCATCACAGTCCAGGAGTGCAGGTCGCCCTGGAAAGGGGGTGCTGACCTTGGTGAGGTGGCTCTCTGCAGCTGAGGCTGTGCTCAAGGGGGGCTGAAAGCTAAACCTTCTGTTCTCACTAGCCCCAGCATCTGGGCAAGAAGTCAATCATTTCTGAGTCCATCATCCTGGGCAGCTAAGCACAGAACCCACCACACTCCCTTTGGTCCAGAGTGAAGGATAAGATTTGCAGCCATTTCTACCTCACTCTCGTTGGCTGACCCCTCATGGCAGTGTGCATGTCCTGCGGGTGAGGAGTCTGCTTGTCGTGCCCCACACGGCAGTGTGCACATCCCATGGGTGTGGAGTCTGCTTGTCCTGCCCCACATGGCAGTGTGCACGTCCTATCACCTAATCATCTAGGAAGTGATTGTGGGAGGGGCTTCAGAGCTCCCCTCTATCCTCCTTTTCAGATGAGGAATTAGGTTTAGTCAGTTCAGACAGAGACGAAAAGCTGAACTGGGAATTTGAGCCCAGGCCTTGATTCCAAGGGCACTGCCTTACCCACCCTTGATCCTCCTTATAAGAGGACCTCATCAAAGGGGCTGCAGTTGTGGGCCCCCAACATCTACGCAGTGACAGAGAATGTGGGAAGAGAGAGGACAAATCAGGAGACTAGGATCTGAAGGGACTAAATGCAGCATGTGGGAGAGGGAATACTAGAGCTGGAAAGAACTTGAAGTCCAACACTAATGAGGCATTTACTTAGTTGCACAGTTCTCATGTTATTTTGTTTTCTCCTGACAACAATCTTGAGAGGTAGAAATTATCGTCCTCTTTCACAGAAAGGAAAAATGAGGCCCAGACAGAATTAGTGATTTGCTCGGGGTCATACAGTGACAGGGCAGCATCCCTGGATCCCGGTCCCAGACCCACTCCGGGGCACTGCCACCGCACATCTCGCCCGCGGGCAAGATGGGCTGCTGGTGGTGCTGCCACAGGATCGCAATAGAGTTGAGCTCCCCAGCTGAGCTAAGCCCCTCCTAGCTACACACCAGGGTGATGGCCTCACCCACCTGATGGGGAGGAAGGCTTCTCAGCAGGTTGTTTCCTGGTGGAGACGGGTGTCACTCTGTGTGTGTGTGTGTGTGTGTGTGTGTGTCTAGGAGCCAGATCTGTCAGTTCCTCAATCTGCTTCTTCCCTCTACTGCCCTCTCCTGGACTTAGAAAAGAAGTGTCTCCTCCTTGCTGTTCCCCAGGACCCCTTCCTCTAGCCCAGCTTCCCAGAGTGGCCCCCATCAGCTGCCCACAGAGGCCCCAGCTGAGTCATTCTCCTGGCCATGATGTTCACTCTCTAGCCTAGGAAGTCCCTGACCCAGGGCCGTGAATAGAGATGTCACCTCTATCCCAGATGCTTGTTCCAGTTGCTCAGGCTGGGGGGACACCCCTCTCCAGTGGAAGAATCCTGTCCGTATTCTCCAGCCTTCACTGCTGGACATCGGGCCAGTGGTCTGGGCAGTAGAGGTAGAGTCTGAGCAATGGGTCAGTGGGGCAGGGGACAGATTCCTCAGCCAGTGGGTCCTAGGCCAGAGGTTACTTGGGTTTCATTCCCCCTGTCCCCATCCAGGCCAGTCATACGTGCTGTGGCTGGCTCTGAATTGTCTCGGCGGTGTCACAAGTGGGCCCTCTCTCACCAGGGGACAGTGAGCCCACAGAAGGAGAGGACATGCACCCCTTCTCTGAGCCATGGCCTCCCCACCAAAGTCTGTGGGGTGAACCCCACCACCACACACACACACACAGATCTGAGATCTCAGGTGGCCCTGGGTGTGGACTCTGCTGGGGGCCTCAATCCCCTCCAGGAGCTCAAACGTGGATCCCAGGTATGGAAACCGAGAGAGAACAAGCCCCAAATTCAACCTCTGCACCCCAGTCTGGGGAGAGGCTGGCCTTGCACCTGAGGGGGGCTCTCCTGGGCAGAGGGGTATCTAAGGTATGGGAGGTATGGCGCATCCCCTGGGCACCACTGGGGGGCACCAATGAGCAGTTTCTGTTGGCCATCACAGTTTCCATCGACAGCTGCGAGAGGATCATTCAGCAATTTAAAACTAATTGCCACAGCCACTGTTTTCCGTAGATACACCACTGCTCCCAGGAGGGGCTGTGAGCAGATGGCAGCAGTGGGCGGATGGGTTCCTAGGAGATAAGTGACAAGTAGCCACAGCCAGGTCAGAGCACAGAGGATACACGGTCAGAAGCAGGGGCGTCTGGACAACTTGGGGATCCCTTGCTGCCAACCGTCTATGGACCCCCAGTACCTAGTCTGTTCCTCCTCCAGGGCAGGGCCCAAGAGACATCAGCTGCCTTGGGGGCTCACGAGCCCGACTTTCTTTCTCAAGTTCACAGGGGAGCTGGAGGGGAGCTGAGGACACAGTGGTCACAGGTGGGAGGAGGGCAGCTCTAGCTACCCACGCCTCCCTCCCCTCCACTTGATAGCAAGGGGCTCTGAGGCAGACGGAGCTCAGGCTCTGCCTGCAAAACAGAATTGTCAGGGCTTCTCTGCCATCCAGCTAGGGCTGGGGTCTGCAGCTCTGAGCAGGATCTTCTCAGTGGCTTTCCCCACGACTTCCTCCCTGGGCCCCTCCCCAGATTCCTGGCAGCCCAGGAAAACACTCAGGGCCCAGGAGAGTTCACCACAGAGTGGGCCAAGCTGCTGGCCCCTGGCATGGGCAGACTGCAGCCTGTGTTTCTGGGAAGGCCTGATTTCAGCATTACGCAGGTCCTCACATCCCAGTCTTGCTCCGGTCCAGACAAGGCCCCATCTTCATTCCTCCTTGGGACTCCTGAGACCCCTCTGGGAGAAGCGCCACCTCTGTACAGTTAGGTGGTCTCGGGCCAAGTCAGCTTCCATGGGGGCTCTGGTCCGGGCGCGTCCCTCCAGTGTCTAGCAGGACCATTGCACAAGCTGTAGCCTACAGGACAGGGACAGAGATAAAGAAGGGCCTTGCTCTTGGCCCAGCCCCAGCCCCTGGTCTGGCTCTGCCTTCTGGCTCCTGCCAGGCCATCCCCTTGGGACTATGCTGTGCTGTCCCTGCTTACATTCCCTCCTCCCTTGCTGAGTGCCATCATGGTCCTCTTGACTGGACACAGGCTGAGAGACACATCACCTGGGGACTCGGTGTCACAGACAGCGCAGGAAGGCATTTTGAAAAATGTGTCAAGCCCCAGTGCTCTGCACTCCAGCTGGGAGGGGGGCTATACTCACTGCCCACGTGTCTCCTCTTCCAAAGCCCATAGAAGATGACCAACAGCACAGGCACGGGGAGGAGGGCCAGCACCACTGCAAGCACAGTGGGATCAGAGTCCTGGTGCCTGAGGAGACGGGGAGAATGGCAGGAGGTGAGCCTCAGTGTCCCCCACCCTGACCCATGCCACCCAGGAGGAGCTGGGCAGGGGTGACTCTAGCACAGACACCCTGATAGCCCTCTACCTCTAAGGGAGATGGCCTCTCTTCCCTATGGACCCACCTGTGGGGGAAGGAAATGAGGCTCTCAGAGCTCAGGGGAGGAAATCAGTCAAAAATGACCCAGGGATAATTTCAGAGAGTACTTGGGGGCAAAGGCCTTGTCCTGATAGTCCCCCAGTGGAGGGGAGCACCTCTCCATCTCAGCTCCTCCTCTCCATTATGCCTCTAAATCTCCTTATGTGTGAGAATAAGTGGCTGAAGAGATCAAGGTCCTTGCTCTCCTCACAGGGACTGAGGCTGCCTCTTCCCACTTCCAGCCTCTGTAGCAAATGCTATGGGTGCCCCCCCCCCCAAGTCCCCTTGCCTGTGTCACTTCGGGATACACTGGTCTCTGCACAGCCTTTTTTGTTTTGCTTGAGGTCTTTCCCTTGTCAGTGGAGCCCTCTTTGCCACCCACATAGCAGGTAGCCCTCCACCAATGACCGAAAGGAGTTGGTGTATTAATACCCCAGCACCCTTGATCTTCAGGGAGAATATCTCTGAGGTGGTGTTCAACATTGGAGCCTAGAGTTTCCTCAGTGGGACTAGGCTCCTATCACCCACAGTGGTGGCAGCTTGATTAAGTACTCTTTGTTGGCTACCTGCCCTGCCGTGTCTTCACTTCACCATCTTTCCTGTGTTCCCCTCTCCCACACAAGCAACATACACACGAATCCTTGTCTCAGGATGTGCTTCTGGGAGAACCCAAGTTAAAGCATCTCCTATTTCCCACTGGGAGTCTCTGAATGGTGCAAACAGTTAATGCACTAGGCTGCTAGCTGAAAGGCTGGTTGTTCGAGTCTACCCAAAGGCACCTTGGAAGAAATGCCTGGTGACCTACTTCCAAAAAATCAGCCATTGAAAATCCTATGGAGCACAGTTTTCGTCTGACACACATGGGGTCACCATGAGTCAGAGTCAGCTCAATGGCAACTGGTTCATTCCCCACTTCCTGAGCCTGATCCTCGACCTCTCTCCTCTCCATCCCCAGACTCTTCATGCTGATCCCATTCTCTACCCTCATACCCACTGCCACTCTTTATGTTACACTCTCCATCCCAGCTTCCCGTTTCCCACCTCTCACCCTCCCTCCCATTCAGCAACAGGCCCCGGGTGAGTTCCTGGGGAGCAAAGGGCCAGGTCTAAGATTTGTACCTTGAGAGCCGTTCAGGCACCAAGCGCTATTGCCATATCTGGGAAAAATGTCACCCAGCCCCAGGACCCCAGGTACCTGATGGGCGGTAATTTGTTGAGAAGAGATCTGCCGGTGTGACACATTCCTGTGGTGGGCGATCTGGTGCTTGGGGGCATAGACTCGGTGGAGATGCGCACTGGGACAACAGAGGAGGTCCAGGAACTGCTGGGAGACTCAGTCACTGTCTGGGACCCTGTGGTCCTCCTGCGCCCTGTGGTGGTAGGGGTGGTTCCAGTGAAGCTGTGTCGTGCCATAGGGGTTGGTCCAGTGGTCTCTGGGGCAGTGGAAGGCAAGATGCTGGCCAAGGTGAGGAGTCCAGGTGTGAACACAGTCATGCCCGTGGTGAACGGTGCATCAGGGTCAGAGGTAGGGGTTCGGCCTGTTGCCAAAACAATTCCACCCTTGAGGATGTTAGATAGATGCGTCAAAGGAGTGTTCCTCTCAGTTGTGGGAGCTGAGGGACCAGAGAGGAAGGAACATTAGACTGACTTGGGGCCTCGGTGCTGGAAGCAGTTGTCCAGATGCTAGGGTGGGGGCCTGTCCCCTGTTCCCTTCCTTGACCTTAGGCCTAGGATTCTGCTCTGCTGAGTGACCAGGTGTGTGTTTGTCCAGAAGGTGATGCCAGGAAGAAGCAGGTATAGTAAAGAAGGAAGAAAACCAAAATACCAGTTGCCATGGATTTGACACCAACTCGTGGTGACCCCACGTGTGTCAGAGTAGAACTGCGATCCATAGGGTCTTCAGTGGCTGATTTTTCAGAAATAAACCCCCAGGCCTTCCTTCCAATGCATGTCTTGATAGATTTGAACCTCCAACCTTTCAGTTAGCAGTCAAGCGCGTTAACCATTTGCACCACCCAGGGACTCCAAAAAAGGAAGAGACTTTCACACTTTCTTTAGCCTCTCCTGTCAGGCCACCTGCTCTCAGAGGACATCCCCTCACTATCCCCATCTCTCTCATCACTTTCAAGATCCTCCTCATTCCTGTGGGTCAAAGAGATTTCAAAAAAGTCATGTTGATCAGGGACTTTTCCAGTTGCTCCATAACTGGTGACTAGGATCCAGAGATGAGGACAAGGAGGCACCAAGCATCCCAAATTCCAAAAAAGAAAAAAAGCTGCAATCAGTTAGGGTCAGACACCTTCCTTGGGGCTTACCAAGAGACATCTGAATTGGTCCTGCTATCCTCAGCCATCAACCCAGCCTCTTACCATCCCATTTTCTAAAAGAAGCCTGAAGTTGGGATGGTGGAAGAAAGAGGAACTGCACGAGTTGTGAGTCATCACATGAAACACGTGGAGTCACCATGAGTCAGAATCAACTCAACGGCACTGTTTTGTTTTGTTTTCTTTTGTTTATGGGTGGGGGGAGCCTTAGGGATGCTGCCTGACTCTCCAGCATCAACTCCTATCACCCTTCCCCACACTCAGTATGGACCAGCCATACAGGCCTTCCTCATACACACCAAGCTCCTTCTTACCGCAGGACATTTGCATCTACAATTCTCCCCACCTGGAATGCTCTTTGAAGCTCCCAGATTTTGACAGGGTTAGAGAACTCTCCTCATTCAGGATCTGCATGATGGCATCTATTCAGGGAAGTTCTTCTCTGATCTGTGGTACTCCCCCACCACTGAGTTACTCTCCAGTTCATCATACTGTCTTATTTTCTTAAGAACATTTATTGTTATCTGGAATTGTTTCTCTTATGGTAAGTTAATGCCTGTCATCTACCATAGGGCAAGATTGTGTCTGATTTGCTTACCCCTGTATCCTCAGAGCCTAGCACAGTGCCTGGCACATAGTAAGGGTTCAATAAATATACGTTAAACAGACGGCAGAATAAAAAAGAGCAAAGAGAGTTCTGAGTTCGAATCCCAGTTCTGCCACCTGCCAATTCTGTGACACTGAACAATCTCACTTTCTTCACTTATAAAATGGTGACAGTAATACCCAAGAACATCAAATCAGAAGATGTCTGTAAAAGAACTCTGAAACCCCTCGGGTGCAACATGATTATTATTCATTATTATTATTCTTATTAAACCTGATGTTAGCAGAGTGCTTCAACATGGTGGCCAGCCAGTGGCTGGAGGGATGCAGGGCAGGGAGGACGGCCCCACCCAGCCCAGGCCCACTCACCTGGAAACACTTCCAGCAGGATGCCCATCAAGGGGTAGAGGATCTGGGAGCTGTTCCGCATGCACCAGTATCGGCCAGAGTCCTGGCGCCTGAGGGCCGCCATGGTGATGGTGACCACCTTGGCCTGGATATCATCCTGCAGCAAGTAGTGGGGCCTCTGTGCCCAGACCCGGGTGAACCCAGCCTCACATTTCTTCCTCCTGACCTTGCACCAAACCTTGCCCTCCACGCGATTTTTACGATTCTTGTAGGGGCACTGCACAGACAGCGTCTCTCCCTCCCAGTGCTGCACTTTGGTGTACGTATCCTGGGCTGGGGGACCTGGGGAGACACACCTTGTTAAGCAAGGTCTAGTGAGAGAGGAGGAAGGAGGCATCTTGAAACAGAAAATTGATGGTGAAGGGGGAGGGCGTTGATATTGCCCTGCTGAAGAAGAGCTCACAGTCTGATAGGGAGACACAGCCCTGCCCTCAGGGAACCCCAGTCTGAGGGAAGACACAGCCTGCCCTCAGGGAGTTCCAGTCGGAGGAGGCGACATGGCCCTGCCCTCAGGGAGCCTCAGTCTGAGGGGGAGACACAGCCTTGCCCTCAGGGAACCCTAGTCTGAAGGGAGACACAGCCCTGCCTTCAGGGAGCCCCAGTCTGAGGGGAAGACACAGCCCTGCTCTCAGGGAGCCCCAGTCTGTTGGAGGAGACACAGGCCCTGCCTCCTGAGAGTTCCCAGACTGAAGAGGAAGATAACAGTCTTTCACTCTCGGTGAGTCCTAGGCTGATGAGGGAGAAACAAGGTTTGCCTTCAAGGATCTCCCAGTCTGATGGTGGAGACACAGGCATAGCCCTCAGGGAGCCTCCAGTCTAAAGGAGGAAACTCAGTCCTTACACTCAGGCAGCCCAGCAGACGTATCCCCTTTCCTCAAGGGATCTCTATTCTGATAGGAGAGTAATAAGCTTCAAAGTCAGGGATTCCCTGTCTTGTGGGGAAGATGCAGATCCAGCCCTCCATGAGATATATGCACTGCACAAGTCATTAAGTTATGAAATTCCAAAGCTCAAACAACTTAGGTGCTCTGAAAAGATTTTTAAAAATCCAATTATTTGAAAAACTGAAGACTGGTTATGTATATCACAAATAGGTTCACTCTTGTTGTTAGGGGCCATCAAGTCAATTTCAACTCAGCAACCCCATGTGACAGAGTATAACTGCTCCATACAATTTTATAGGTTGTCATCTTTATGGAGTAAGCCATGGTGGCACAGTGCATAAGAGCTCAGCTGTTAACCAAAAGGTTGGTTGTTCAAACACATCAGCAACTCCGCAGGAGAAAGTTGTGGCAGTCTTCTTCCATAAAGATTACAACTTTGGAAACCCTATGGGGCAGTTCTACTCTATCCTATAGGGTTGCTATGAATTAGAACTGACTTGATGGCAATTTTTTTTTTTTTTTTAATCTTTATGGAATCAACTCAACAGCATACAACAAAAACAACAATCTTTTCAGAAGCAGGTCTTTCTCCCTCAAAGTCGCTGAGTGGGTTCCAATCACCAACCTTTGGGTTAGCAGAAGAGCACTTAACTGTTGTGTCACCAGGGGTACTAGGTTCAAAGCAGTGAACTTTTAAATAGTAAGCTGCCAGAGGCAGGGCCAAGATGGTGGAGTAGTCAGACACTTCCTGTGGTCCCTCTTAGAACAAAGACCCAAAAAAACACGTGAATCAATTACATATGACAATCCAGGAGCCCTGAACATCAAAGGCAAAGTTGAGGAATCAGTCGGAGTGTCAGGGGGAGGGAGAGACAGTTAAGAAGCAGTGAGGAGTTGCCAGACCTGACCTGGCAGGAGCCAGCCCCCTTCAGTCTGGATCAGCTGGCGTGCACAGTGAAGCAAGCAGTGGTGCTCAGGAGATGTTTTCCACGTCAGGAGACACTGAATGGCAAAGAGTCTACTCGGGCCTCCAGAACCAGTGAAAGCAGTGTTCAATTGGCAAAAGATAAGTACATGCATCTGACCTACCATGCAGATCAAAAAACACCCGCTTTGAGAAAAACTCCTCTCCCATTTACCTGCCCCCTCCCCACTCTGCACCGGGTCCCAGGCTGGCTTCAGAGATTGCTAAGTCCCCTGGGCCAGAAGTAGGGCCCGCCACACACCGTGAGCCATTCTCCCAGCCTTGGAGAAGGAACAAACTAACAAACAGGAAGAAATAATCTGCCAGCTCCGCTAAGCTGGGAACTCAGGGTAGGCACAGCTCTTTTGCCTAGGCACAGGCATGATGGGTCCACAGACTTTGAATGCCTTTCACCTCTGCATACACCTGTGTGTGCCCATTTCAACAGTGTAGGTCCTCATTAGCACAGTACTACAGGGTATATACCTAAAGCCTAACTTCAACTGTATCAGCTAAATGGTGAAGTGGCAGGTTCGTGATGTTTGACACTGCTCTGCCCATTAAGCAAGGTCCTCACCTACCCACATCAAGGGCCTGATGACTGGTGGTTCCACCCATGCCACCTAGCCACCTGTGACACGGGCCCAAGAATAAGCGGTGCCTCCCAGTCCTTATAGCTAACAGCACTGGGTGCTCATAGTCTGGCTGCAAATCCCACCCACTGATGCACTCTAGGGAACAGGGCATGCTTTCTTCCCAGACACTCAGGGGAAGCTGTCAGCCCCCTGCCTCGCTCAGCGTGTGAACCCCTACTGCAGCCAGATACCTGTGCCTACACCAATCACCCCTGCCTGTCTAGGACTGTAGGTGAGAGCTTACACCACATACTTGGTGACCGACTACCTGGACACCTGAGCTGAATCCATACAAGAAAAGTAAACAGATTCCTGGGCTCACATACCTAGTAACAGATCTAACTACCTGGTGACAGGACATTAGAGCTTTAAAGTCACTGATAATCAAACTAGCTCACACGAGCAGCCTATTTGGGCATATCAAAACAAAACAAGAAGCTAGGAAACAGTAAGCAAACAAAACAAATAAATATAATAACTTATTGATGGCTCGGAGACAACAGTCAATATCAAATCACATAAACATGCAGACTATGATGGCTTTAGCAAGCTCCCAAAACAAATAATCAAGAAATATTCCAGAGGAAGAGAACTTCTTGGAATTACTGGACGTAGAATACAAAGATTAAAATACAGAATTCTTCAAGAGATCAGGAAGATCAGGCAAAATGAAGAACAAGCCAAGGAACACACAGACAAAGCAACAGAGGAACTTAAGAAGATTAGAGAAGAGCATAATGACAAAACTGACAGGCTGCAAAAATCCATAGAGAGAGAGCAAACAGAAATCAAGAAGATTAAGAATAAAATTTCAGAATTAGACAACTCAATAGAAAGTCATAGGAGCAGAATTGAGGCAATGGAAATCAGAATTAGTGAGACTGAAGATAAAGCACTTGACACCAACTTATTTGAGGAAAAATCAGAGAAAAGAATTTAAAAAAATGAAGAAACCCTAAGAATTATGTGAGACTGTATTAAGAAAAATAACCTATGGGTGACTGGAGTGCCAGAAAGGGTCAGGGGTGGGGGTGGAGAACAGAAAATACAGAGAGAATTGTTGAACATTTTTTGGCAGAAAACTTCCCTGATATTGGAAAGATGAGAAGATACCTATCCAAGATGCCCATTGAACCCCACATAAGGTAGATCCCAAAAGAAAGTTACCAAGACATATTATAATCAAACTTGCCAAAACCAAAGATAAAGAGAGAATTTTAAGAGTGGCTAGGGACAAATGAAAAGTCATCTACAAAGGAGAGGCAATAAGACTAAGCTTGGACTACTCAGCAGAAACCATGCAGGCAAGAAGGCAATGGGATGACATATATAAAGCCTTGAAGGAAAATTGCCCGCCAAGAATTATCTATCCAGCAAAATTGTCTCTCAAATATGATGGTGAGATTAGGGCATTTCCAGAAAAACAGAGGTTTAGGGAATTTGCAAAAACTAAACCAAAATTACGAGAAATACTAAAGGTAGTCCTCTGGTTAGAAAATCAGTAACAATAGATAACAACCCAAGACTAGGACACAGGACAGAGCAACCAGATATAAACTCAGATAAGGACATCACAAAAATAAATCAAAGCTAAAACATTGAAAATAGGGAAACAGAGATGTCAACACGTAAAAGACCACAGCACTGAAACAAAAAAGAGGGACTTAAAAATGTAGCTATAGAACGTTCATATGGAGAGGAAGTAAGGCGATATAAAGAAATAAAAGAGTGGTTTAAACTTAGAAAAATAGGGGTAAATATTAAGGTTATCACAGAGGAAATGAACAATCCTACAAGTCAAAATAAAAAACTAGAAAAATATAAAGACTCAGCAAATACAAAATCAACAACAATGAAAAAGACGAAAGGAAAACACATAAAGAAAAACGACTCAGCACAGAAAATTAAGTGGAACAAAGAAATTGTCAACAACACAAAAAAAAGACATCAAAAATGACAGCTCTAAACTCATATCTATCAGTAATCACGCTGAATGTAAATGGACTAAATGCACCAATAAAGAGAGAGTGGCAGATTGGATTAAAAAACACGATCTGTCTATATGCTGCCTACAAGAGACACAGCTTAGACTTAAAGATATAAACAAACTAAAATTCAAAGGATGGAAAACATGTATCAAGCAAACAACACTCAAAACAGAGCAGAAGTGGCAATATTAATCTCTCACAAAATAGACTTTAAAGTAAAATCCACCACAAAGATAAGGAAGGACACTATATAATGATTAAAGGGTCAATACACCAGGACATAACCATAAAAAATATTTACGCAGCCAACAACAGGGCTCCAAAACACATAAAACAAACTCTAACAGCATTGAAAAGAGATAGACAGCTCCACAATAATAGCAGGAGACTTCAAGACACCACTTTTGGTGAAGGACAGAACACCCTTAAAGAAGCTCAATAAAGACAAGGAAGATCAAGATGCCACATCAACCAACTTGATCTCATAGACATACACCGAACACCCCACCCAACAGCAGCCAAGTACACTTTCTTTTCCAATGCGTATGGAACATTCTCCAGAAGAGACCACACATTAGGCTTTAAAGCAAGTATTAACAAAATTCAAAGCATTGAAATATTACAAACCATCTTTTCTGACCATAACGCCATAAAAGTAGAAATCAGTAACAGAGAAAGCAAGGAAAAAAAATCAAACACATGGAAACTGAACAACATCTTGCTCAAAAATTGCTGGGTTATAGAGGAAATTAAGGATGGAATAAAGAAATTCATAGACTCAAATGAGAATGAAAACACATCCTACCAGAAC